TCACAAATGAAAGAAATGAAAGCAAGCAAACTTTTGGATACAAAGTTCGAAAACCACTGTTAGAAGGTTACTCAAGGAACTTCAAAGATCTTAGTGAGAAAGACATAAAAAAAAAAAAGAACCAGTCAGAAAGTAAACATACACTAACTGAGATAAAGAATAATTTACAGTGATTCAACAGTAGAGGGTCCGAGAATCAAAACACCCAATCAGAAGAGCAAAAAGAAGAAAGAATCCAAAAATATGAAGATAGTATAAGGAGCCTCTGGGACAGGAGAAGGGTGGTACTGGAGGCAGCTAGGACCTTCTCATGAATTTCAGGAATTATGTGTGTTGGTTATTAAACACAGCCTTTAGTAAAAATTAAGCTACAGCCGAAACCGGTTTGGCTCAGTGGATAGACCGTCAGCCTGCAGAGTGAAGGGTCCCAGATTCGATTCCGGTCAGGGGCATGTACATTGGTTGCGGGCACATCCCGGGTGTGTGTGTGTGTGTGTGTGTGTGTGTGTGTGTGTGTGTGCAGGAAGCAGCTGATCAATGTTTCTCTCTCATCGATGTTTCTAACTCTCTATCCCTCTCTCTTCCTCTCTGTAAAAACTCAATAAAATATTTTAAAAATTAAATTAATTAAACTACAGAAACTCATTATGTTAAAAACAAGGGCAGCAGATACTCAAAACAACCCTCCTTAATTGTGTCATTGTGTTCTACTATTGTCTATGCTCTTGAGATTATTTACTCCTACTGTTTGTTCTTGGAAATGCTATACAATGGGTGCTACTGCGTATCTTTTCTAACAGTGAAGACACTTCATATTGGTAGCCTGAAATCAACTGTGGTATATTTACACTGCAGAAATTGGCCAACGCTGCAATCCAGGCCTTAATCTACTCGCAGGGGTCTTCAAACTTCTCTCATTATGAGAATCACCTGGTGGAGGTGTTAAAACACAGATTCCTGATAGCACTTCTTATAGTTGGGATCCGGGAATCTGTGTTTTAACAACTCCACCAGGTGATTCTCATAATGAGAGAAGTTTGAAGACCCCTGATCTACTGTACGTAATTGTTTACACCAGAAGCTGGCAAACCAGACACAACCTGTTTTGGTTCAATCCTTAAACTAAGAAGATTTTTTTTACATTTTAAATATAGAAGGAAGAAAGAAGAGGACAGGGGGGAAAAGAAAATACGTGAGAGAGACAGACATGGCTGCAAAGCCTGAGAGATTTGCCAGCAGGCCTTTACAATAAATGTTTCACAAGCCTGAAGCAAAACATTTTAATAATTCGGTGAAACTGAGAAACTTCCTTGCTGGCTGTCAGCTCATAGAAGCAACCTCAGTCCTGGTCATATGGTCCCCTCAAGCTTCAAAGCCAGGAAGGGAGAAAAAAGCCCTGTATTGAATCCTTCTTAGGCCTTAAGTCTCTGGCCAGGAAGCACACAGTCCCTGTAAAGGTCAAGTGCACTGAGGCTGGTTACCCTTTCATGGAGTCAGCTGTGCTTACAGCATCATCTAATCACAGTGTGACACCCCCTCACATTCATCAGACCTGCCCCCACCAAGAGGATGGATTGTGCATGCCTTTGAATCACAGCATCATTCTAGAATTCTTTCTACTACAAGGGAAATCTCACAGTTTCTGTCATATCTACCTCTTTCATTTCCATTATTATTTCAAGAAGTTGAAATCATGGATGTATAATATAATAACATATATATATGTATATATATATATATATACACGTATATATAATATTACATAATATTATATATATGAAGCATGAGTGTTTCATATACATATGAAGCACTCATGCTTCTTCTACAGAAAGAATTACCACATCTAATTTGAGCCTCTTGATAAGTAAAAGCAGTATTTTAAGACTGATAGTTAACAAGAATTTACTTCAGGTGCAGAAATAAAGAAACAAGCAGCTGTATTTTTCATGAGGTCCTCAGAAATACCTGGTTAATAAAAACTTACTTCATGTGCAGAAATAAAGCAATAACCAAAAAAGAGGTATTTTTCACAACATCTGCAGAAACATTTGGACCCGCATGCATTTAGATGATATGTAAAGAAGACTTTGCCTCTTCCATTTCAAATGCTCAGAATGTCACCTTCAGCCTAGCTCTTTAAGAAGGAAAATGCCTCTAGCCTTTGTTAAAAATCAGTACAGAAGGCCCAAAATGGGCCTAGGCCAATAGTTGGCAAACTCATTAGTCAACAGAGCCAAATATCAGCAGTACAACGATTGAAATTTCTTTGGAGAGCCGAATTTTTAAAACTTAAATGTATTCTAACGCCACTTCAAAATACCAGGCCATGGTATTTTGTGGAAGAGCCACACTCAAGGGGCCAAAGAGCCGCATGTGGCTTGCCAGCTGCAGTTTGCCCACCATGGTTCTAAACTTTAGAATCTAAAGGAAGGGGACCCACTGGCCTTTTGCCTGGTGAACTCCCTGTTCCCACCTCCTTCTGCCCATCACAGTCTCATTTTGAACAGCTCCTCTGAGTGCCTTTCTATCTGCTAGATGGCATGCTGTCCAACTCAAATAGATGTTTGCTCAAATAAACAAATGTTTAACATGCGCCAGTGTATCTTTTAACAGTTCTGGCCTCAGAAGAGGGAACCAAAGGAGACACCCCCACGGCCCCAGGACAACAAGCAGCCCGGACAGGTACCTGCAGAGCCCCTGGCTCGCTGCCTTCTCGCTGCCTCTGGAGGTGCCGGGTGAGGCCCCGGGCTCCTGGATCCGCTCCCAGCTCTGCGTTAGGCACATTGGGACTGAGCACTGCCTTCCCTGGAGTGCGGCCTGGAACCACAAGCCACACTGGCTCAGAATGAGGCACCTGTGCGCTCAGGGTGGGACTTGGTCTGACTTGGAAACCTATTCGGACTGGGACTGAGACTGAGACTGGGACTGGGACTGGGACTGGGACTGGGTCTGACTAACGCCGGAGTGGGGCCAGGGTGAGGCCTCAGGTGAATAAATCCTATGTGAAGGCTGAACAAGCAGGTTTACCTTATCAGAGAGAATCAAATTAGAGTGGCCACAGCGGAGAACGTTTAACCTCGATGAGCTTACCCACTCATAAAGTGCCCAGAGTAAAAGGGGTCTCATCAGGCACTCTTCACAAAGGATAAAGGGAAATTATTTTTCTTCCTCTACAGTTTCAGGGGACTGGGATGAGACCTTCTGGGGCACCCCCTCAGTCCAGAACCTGCAGAAGGGACCCTGGGGAAACTGGCAGAAGCTGGCAAATGGGGAGAATTCTTATTGGAGTCAGCTCTCCCACACCTTAATCTATGAGGCCTGGTGGAGAGAGAGAAGTAGAATTTCATGTTGTCCTTTGTAAACTCCAACACTTGTGGATTTGATTTGGGGTACTCACTGGTTGTTAATTCTTCCTCTCCTGAGACAGCAATTGCCTTCTTTTTAAATATATATTTAAAGAATAAGGCCTTTTAATTCCACACTGTGTGTGCCTGTGTGTGCACGCATTATATGTTGTATGTATATGTGCATGCTGCATGCATGCAAAGCACACACACATTTCACCTATTATCTCCACCATAACTACCTTCTCAGCAGTGACTTTAAAAATCTGAATACTGCAGCAATGTTAATTTTATTATCTTGACAGAACTTGTTTTCCCAATAATTGCTCTGCAAGAATTAAATGCTAAATCAGCAAATTTCTAGAGTATTTAGGCAATCTGCTATTATGCAAGATGATGCCTTTTCTGTTAAACGGTTCCCAGAGGCTTACAAAACAGGATAACTTTGTCCTACTTGTGGATTAATTTCCTTTTTCTAGTTTTATTTACATATATTGTGAAATGATTACCATACCAGGTTAATCTAACATGCATATCCTCAAATAGAGACAAAAGAAAGAATAAAGAATACTTAATGGATTATAAACCCCTGTTCTAAGTGACTCACACAGCTCAGTTTTCCTCACTGAAAGACTGGGCATAAGGAATCATCATAGGTGATAGCCAACATTGACTGAGTGTTTGCTGTGCGCCAGGCCCTGTTCCCAGAACTCTATTCAGACTAGACAGACAAGGCCCAACCTGACTGGGTCGCCAGCAAGCCTTCCATATCATCTCCCTCCCTCTTCTCCTCATTGTGTTCCTTCTCCACGTTGGCCTCCAGATGCTCCCCAAGCAGACTGAGCTCAGTCCCCCTCACAGTCTCTGCCCATGCACATTTTCCCACAGACTCATAGGGTCCACTCCACTGGCCCGCTTACATGGTCAGGGAAGGTCTCGCTGAGGAAGTGATGTCTGAGCAGGAAGGTGGGTACCTACCTGCTCAGACATCACTTCCTCAGCGAGACCTTCCCTGACCATGTCAATTAAAACCCAGGACCTTGCAATAGTACTTATTGCTGCTACCAAAGAGGCATCCAGCAAATGCTTGTTTAGTCAGTATATGCTTACAGAGTGGCCTGCTGCAAGGTGTCTTTTGGGATTGGCTACCTCCCTCCCTCTCTGCGCCCCCCCCCCCATCCGCTCCCCTCAGCTTCCTGAATAGCTGGCATACGTACAGCCCAGCTAAGTAAGTGAGGGCAGAAGCCCCAAGGAGACCCGAGGAAAAGCACCCCAGATGAGGGCTCTAAGATAACAGCGCACTTGGAGAAGGATGGAAAGCTAGAACCTAGCCTAACATGTGAGGGGGAGCTCAGGTGGGTGGCAGGTCTCAGAGGCCCCAGAAGCCAGTCAGCAGGAGTCCCTGCGGAATGCAATGCAGGCACTCTAGGATTTCACGCTGACACACAGGAATCCGACACAACCCGATGTGGGTTTTTAACACCTTTCCTCTTGTGGGTTTTTAACACGTTTCCAAAACCGACTGCTCAGGAGTACGAGATGCAGCCATGGAAATGGGGCCGACTTGACACCCCCTTATTCACTGAGCTGCTCAGGAACCTACAGTGTTGAGCTCCTGAGAGCGCCTGCCAGGCCTGGGGGCGGACTCTTCGCCCCACTCTCTCCACCTTCCCCCGCGACTCCTGGAGCACAAACTCAGGCCTGGAGGTGAAGGAGCATCTCTAAATCATTGTCTTTATTTCTCGGCGGGCCTTGAAGTTGGGGATCGGTGGGTCCCGCTGGTCCAGGGGGACCTACAGAGCCAGCTCCACCCCCGGTTCCGGGTCCTTCTCGCAGCGGGCGGACTGGGGATCCGGGTCGGGCTGCGGGGGCGGAGGAGAGTTAGGTTGTTAAGCCCTTGGCTGCCTTTGCCCCGTCCCCGTCAGCACCCAGAGGTGCCCTGCTCCCCATAGACCCTCCCTCTGGGGGACATCCCCGCCCGCTTTGCCACCCTCTCTGCCCGCCTCGCCTCCATCCCTGGCTCCCGACCTCTGCTTTGTGAGCCGGGTCGTCCTCCTCGGGGCTCTGCGCCTGGGTGGGGACTTGCCCACCGGGTTTCTCCAGCTCCGCCGTCAGCCTGCGAAGGGAGAAGGGGCAGAGGAGAGAGACGGGGAGGGAGGAGGAGAGAGAGCTAGAGCGGAGGGTGTCAGGAAGAAACCACCGAGACCCAGTGACCTGAAGAGGCCCAGAGCCAGTCCTTCTAGGAGGGGCGGTGCGGGGGGGGGTGGGGTGGGCATTGGCCCTTTCCCTTCCTCGCTGCCCCTTCCCCTGCCCGGGGCCTCCTTTCTCCTCTTACACTTCTTCGGCTTCGGTCACTGCCAGGGCGCCCTCCACCGCAGGCGAGGAGCGCAGCCTCTGCTCCACCCGCTCCAGCTTGGCTCTGGCTAAGTTCTCTGCAGGGGGTGAAGGGTGGGCATCACGGCGGGGCCCGAGCTCCCTGTCCCAGTCCCCCAGCCCGCGCGGGAGTCCCACCTTCAGTTTGCAGCTGCTCCTTGCTGCTCTGCAGCGCGCGGATCTCGCAGGCCAGGCGCTGCTCCAGCACCTGCTGGAGAGAAAGGGGCCTGTCTTTGGTCTGTAGTCTTGGCGCTCTGCTCCTTCGCGCCTCTCATTGAGTCCTTACTTGAATTCGGTCATTCATTCATTCATTCATTCACTCAACTATGCATTAACTCAGAGGGCAGTGGTGGAGACACTTTTCTCGCCCATCGCTCGCCATGTCCCTGTGTACCTCTCCTCTTCAACCGTAGGTCCTGCCACTCTCCTTGCCCCTCCTGCCCATCCTCATTTGTTCGTCCCCAAATGTCCAAGGCAGAGTTCAGCCTGAGGGCCTTTGTATTGGCCTTTCCTTCCGCCTGGAGCATTTGCACCCATTCCTGCCCGCTTCCTTCCTTACTTCCTTCGTGTCTGCATTCAGATGTCACCTGCTGAGGCCTTCCCCAACTGATAGTACATTCTCTATCTTATTTCTTCTTTTTTTAAAAAATATATTTTATTGATTTTTTTTTTACAGAGAGGAAGAGAGAGGGATAGAGAGTTAGAAACATCGATGAGAGAGAATCATCGATCAGCTGCCTGCTGCACAGCCCCCATTGGGGATGTGCCCACAACCAAGTACATGCCCTTGACCAGAATTGAACCTGGGACCCTTCAGTCCGAAGACAGACGCTCTATCCACTGAGCCAAACCGGTTTCGGCTTACTTATTTTCTTATTTAGAGTATGGGGTGCCTCCCCTTGCCTCAAACCATCCTGGGACCAGCAAACACTCGACCCTTGGGCTCCCACTGTCTCCCCCTGCCTGGAATGCTGCGAGGTGCCTGCAGGGACATTAGTTGAAGGAACAATCTGACCGTGGCTTTTTCAGGGTTCCCCTTTGCCACTGCAAGGTGAGCACATTCCGGGTGAGCAAGAGGGGAACAGGGTCAGCGATGGTTACTGTGACAGTCCTGGCCACGTGTGGCAGTGGGGAGTGGTGGTGAGAGGTGGCCAGATTAAAGGTAAAAGCTGACAGATTGAGTGGATGGGCGAGAAGAAGAACCGTGTCAAGGATTATGCCATGAACTTGGGCTGGCGCAGATGGACCTGAGCAGCCAGTGGAGACGCAGCAGAGAAAAGGCTTTGATTGGAGGCAATGATGATGGCTCACCTGGAATTCCCAGAGGTCCTTGTGCTGGCCCATCAGGTCCTCCAGCTGTTCTTGCACGTGTGACCTAGGAGCCAACGCCCAGGAGTGAGAGAACACCTGCTGGGACTTGACACCCAGCCCGGCTCATTTCTGCGGATTCCTCACGCACAGGCCATGACATCTCTGCCTGGGGCTCCCTCTGCTGGGATCCCCTTTCAGGTCTTTCTCCTCCAAGCCGTGGTTCCACCAGCTCCTCTCCCAACAAATCTCCCTGATGCAAACCCCACGCCCACTCCCCACCCAGTGCCACGCCCGGCCCCAGTGGTTACCCCAGCTCCCTCTGTTTACAACTCTCTTCAATCGGAGTTATGGATGGAAATTTGATCCATGAACTCCTGCAACATGTGCTTCTGAGGAAGGGAAAGACAACCTCAGTCATATTCTCTGAACGTTTCCCCCACTCCCTCCTGCAGGAGTGGGAGTTCGGGTTTTGTCGTAACTGTCATCGTTCCTCTTTCTTCTATTGATTGGATGTGAAAATCGATGGGCCTCTGTCGAGACTATCATCCTGTCCCCCATCAAACCATGCATTTGGGCCTGAGCAGTAGGTAGGTCTGAGCAATGAGTGAGCAGAGACATTGAAACAAAAGAGGAGGGGCTTGGTTGGAAGGACACTTTGTGAGGGGAGAAGTAGTTTAGTTCCGTAGATTCTAAAATCCTGCCTGAAAGCCTGCACCTGCTATTCTACTGTGATCCTTTTACTGTGTAAGAGGTCTCTGGGCCTTAGTTCACTCATCTGTAAAATGGTGGTAATGATGGGAGGGTGACATCAGCCTTTAACTCCTTCAATTGTCTTTGGGAGGATTATGCTGATAAATGAACATAAATTGCTTATCAGACTCTCTTTGTGTGTGTGTGTGTGTGTGTGTGTGTGTGTGTGTGTGTAGGGAGGTAGTTAAGCATTCACACACTATCCATCATCAGGTTTTCCTGCACAATTAAAATCATGGTGCACCAGAGTGTGACAGCTCTGGTCACAGAACAGTTAAGTAAAGGTCCAAATGGTGGAGAAATGGATGGATGAATGGTTGGATGGACAGTTAATTGGATGGGTGAAGGGCTGGCTGAAGAGATGATGGCTGGCTGGAGAAATGACCAGTGGAAGGAGATGGCTGGGTGGAGAAATAAAAGGGTTATTAGAAGGCTAGAGGATGCCTGGGTGGGTGGGTGGGTGAAGAAATGAACAGCTAGAAGAACAGATAATTGGAAAGATGGAGTAAGATGAATGAATGATTAAATGGATGGAAGATGATTATCTAGAAGACTGGAGAGATACTGTCTGTCTGTCTGACCGGATGAAGGGTTGGATAGTAGAACAGATCTATTGATGGGTGAATGGGTTACTGGGTGAATGGATGAATGGGAGGCCTAAATGAGCAGATAGATAAACAAATGAATGGATAGCAGAAGATCTGAATAACCAATAGGAGAAAGCTTAGAATAACACCCGTGGATGACATTTATAAAGAAAGTATCAAGGAGTGATTAAATGAGTGAGTTCATCTTAACACCACTACCTAATATCAAAGACGCACACAGAAGTCTTTTCTCTAGCTAGAGTATATTATAAAAGGGGGAAATGAGGAGTGTGTGTCCAAGATTTATTTTCCCTTGCCCTTGCTCCCTGCTCCTTCAAGCTGGGGAGTAAGGTGAGCCGAGCTGGGCAGGACCTCTTACCTCTGCGCCTGGCTTTCCTTCCTGTGGCAGTGCAGCTGGAGGATCCTCAGCGCTTCTGTGGAGAGGAGCCAGGAGGGCCATGTGAGAGCTCCTGGGCAGCCAGGCTGGGGGGAGTAATGGGCACTGAAGGGCACTAATAGGACTTGAGTGTTTACTTCAAGTCAGGTGGCAGCCGAGGGAGAGGTCTGAGCAGAGAGGGAAGCAGCCTGACTCAGGTTTCAGTGGGGTTCTTCTGGCTTTTGTGGGGTGATGGGGTAGGGTAATAAAGACAGGACAGCTGGTAAATACCTTGCTTTTTTCTCAAGACCTCCTCTAGGTGTACTTTCTCTCCATTCACTGGAAAACACAGTATCACGTTGAGCCTCCAAGGAAGGGGCTATATCCCATACCCATGCTGCAACTTCATGCAAAGGGCATGCCCAAGGTCATACAGAAGGCCTGATGCAGCCCCAGGAGAGGGGAGGTATAGTATTGCCACCCTGCACCCATGTCCACTGGGGACCATCCAGATCCAGATTCTCCCGGTGGGTGCCCACATTCCCTGTCAACTCCAAAAAAGTAATGACTCTGCAGGATGCACAATGTGTATGCCGGGGAAAGAGATGACTGACTAGAAATAAACAAATGCACCAAGTCAGATGAAAATAAAGGGCATGAAGAAGCAAATCAAGCAGGAGAGTGAGAGTGACAGAGAGAAAAGATGACATCCCATTTTACATGGGACCATCAAGGTAGGCCTGCTGAGTAGTCTGAGCTAAGAGCTAACTGGAGGTAGCAAGAAGCAATCTAGATTACACAGCACAAGGGCACTGCAGACAGAGGGAACAGCCCATGCACAGACCCTGAGGTGTGCACAGGAACACAGGCAGTGCCATGGGATCTCTGGGTCCCTCTTTGGGTCTCACTTACAAGAGTCCAATTCCCTATGCAGCGTCTCCAAGAGAGTTTGGGTCTCTCCCAATTCCTCATTGGATTTCTTCTTTGCTGAGCAAAAACACAGAAGAAGACACTGTGAATGCAGCCTCTAGCTGGCTATTCTCTCTTACATTATGATACTGCACGCTATCTTCAAGCAACCTGGAGGGGCCTGAATTTTAGAGCTGAGGAAGGGGAGTCATTCCAAGTCCAGGGCCCACCTCAGTCCCAGTTTACCATGCTGAAGGTCATTAATCCGGTTAATCAGATCTTCTATCTGTGGCTCCAGGCTTCCCTCTGCAGAAAGAAAGAAAGATAAAATCAGAGGAGACTGAAGCCTGGCTGTCCGAGGCAGATGGAGGGTGGGTGGGAGTTGGCATTGTGTCTCTGCTCCTATCATCAACACACATTAATGGAGTGCCTGTTGTATGCTGGGCTCTGCAAGAGGCTCTCTGCAGGGCTTGCGTTCTGGGTGGGAGAGATGGACACTGAACAGAGAGACATAAATCAGGGTAGGTGGCAGCAACTGCTGTGAAGGGGAATAAAGCGAAGCAAGAGGTTGGAGAGTGAACACGTAGGAGGTGCTTCTTCAGATGTGGAAAGGCCCAAATGAAGACAGGGGAGGGAGCCCTGCAGTTTTGTGGAGGTGTGGGGTGTGGTCGGAGGAACCCTGCCAGGCAGATGGATAAGTGCAGAGAGAGTGAGGCAGATGCCCAAAGAAATAGCTAAGGGGCCATGTGGCAGGTGTGAATCTAGTATTATAAGCAAGTGGGGAGTAGCAACAGGCAAGGTGGTGGAGAATGAGGATGCAGATCGCCGAGGGTGTCCAAGGACATGGTGGAGGCTTCTGGTTGTAATTCTGAGCACGGTGGGAGCCAGTGAAGACCGCCTGCCTGCCCCTCCCTGTTAAAAGCCTGGCAGAGAGCAGTTGCCACCTCTGTCCTTCCAGACCCTTAATTATTGGTCCTATTAGAGAAAAATGGGGAAATGCTGCTTTAATTTTGTGGGTGGCAGCTTTCAAGTTCTCTGCTGGCAGGGAGGTCACTGCCTCTGTAGCGTAGCCATCTCTACCTTCTGACAGCCCCATGATCAGTGTTTGGTATGGAGAGGCCTTCTTCCTCGCCCCTCTTTTGGCTTCAAGATCAGCAGCACAGAGCTGGGGCAAAAAATAAACAAAGCTTCCCAGCCTTTGCTGGGTCTCCAGCCCCAACACTCTGAAGTGAAGAAACTCAAGCCCTGGATTTTCCGAGGCCACCCACTCCAGCTCCTGTGACTTCTAGCAGGTGGGTGCTTCCAAGGTGTTATTTATGGCGGACAAAGCTCCAGTCCTGCAATTTCTCTCATGTCAGCCTGGGCAGGAGCCCCGGTGCACTTCTGCGGGAGCCACAGGGTCGGGGGGGCGGGGAGGTTCCCTTTTATTAGGAACCGATCAATGCACCATAAAATTTAACCTGAGGGTGGGCTGTGGAGGGGTGTGTCCAACCTCCAGTCCAGCTAGAACTTGGCCCAGCCTTGATGGAGAGGGCTCCAGGCCCCCTTCAACAAGCAAAGCTAGGCACAAAACTATTTGTATGGCCATTTGGATATAAAGAGGGCAGGCAAAGAACACACACCCATGAATGTATTTTTTTTTTTTAATCTCTAGAAAAATACCCAAGAATTTAAAAATAGTCACTGCTGGCCTGTGGGTCAGGGAAACGGATGGCTGGTGTGTGTGTGTGTGTGTGTGTGTGTGTGTGTGTGTGTGTAAGAGCATAGGGTTCTCCATCCCCTTATCCTTCTTGAATTTTGAAGCTGTGCTTTTGGTTCAAAGAATGAATTGTGTTAAAGGGAGAGAGTGCCATGGGATAGTTCTCCAAGGCTGTGAGTTGAGGGAGCTGGGTTTGAGCCACACGCCTGACTAAGAACCCCGGGGGAGCCTCAGGTACGGTATGAGGGGACACACCACCTTTCTGCAGCTTTTTCACCATGGCCAGCAAGTCCTCAGCCTTCAAAGATGTGGTCTGCCCTGCGAAGACGAAAACCAGAATTACAGGATCCAGTGAGAGTGAGGGGACTGAGGAAAGGTCCAAGCCTGTCAGAGAAGGGTGCAAGGAAGCCCCAGTGGGTTCTTCAGACACCCCTGGGCTGGGACCCAGGACAGGCCGAGGGCGAGGCCTCCAGCAAGAGCAGGGCCTCTGTAAGACCCGGCCCCTTGCCCCTGAGGTTCCTGGTGTGCTGGATGAATCAGGGACCCTTATGGCCAGCTTCTCCCTGAGGTCAAAGGACACCATAAATCCCTTAATACAACACATGCATGAGAGAAGGTGAAGCACTTTTGTGGCTGCTTTTCAGAATCAGTAGGACATTCTAACCAATGGATAGGGTAGAGAGATTTCATATGAATTCTGTAAAATCATTATAGGCCAGAAACTGCAAATCTTAAAGAATTTATGGGTCTTGCCGAGACCGATTTGACTCAATGGATAGAGCGTCGGCTTGGGGACTGAAAGGTCCCGGGTTCGATTCCGGTGAAGGGCATGTACCTTGGTTGCGGGCATATCCCCAGTAGGGGGTGTGCAAGAGGCAGCTGGTCGATGACTCTCTCTCTCATCGATGTTTCTAGCTCTCTATCTCTCTCCCTTCCTCTCTGTACAAAATCAATAAAATATATTAAAAAAAAAAAGAATTTATGGGTCTAGGAAATAGCTATTAACGACTGCTAACAATAAAAAAAGACAACAGGGTATTATGAGCTTTTTGATGAAGAAACATAATACCACCTATGAAGGATTCTTGCCAATTAAAAAAATATATTACTAAGGTTTTCATATCTAAATGCCAACTCAAAGGAAGTGCAAGGGGCAGTGAAACATGTTAAATTGTATCATGGGGATGTGAACAGCATTATAAGACTCTGGCAAATTCCACAAGACAATCTTATTTCTTCAATAAATAAATTGCAAAGAAGAAAAAAGGGAGAGGGGCAAACCATGATTAAAAGACTTGAGACATATATCAATCAATTATAATGAATAACTAATTTGGATCTTAATTCAAACACACTTTAACCATATATACTTCTATACATTTAAAAATACATATATATATTTTTAATGGTTTCAGAGATGAAGGGAGAGAGAGAGAGAGAGAGAGAGAGAGACAGAAACATCAATGATGAGAGAGAATCATTGAATGGCTGCATCATGCAAGCCCCACACTGGAGACAGAGCCCAACAACCCAACCATTTGCCCGTGACCTCCTGGTTCTCAGAGGCTGACACTCAACCACTGAGCTGTACCAGCTGGGCCTTCTATACATTTTTACCATGAGCCTATGTTACTTTTAGAATTATAGTAACAATAAAATATCAGAAAAAATATATTGACATCTTAAGCTTTTGAAATCAATGATAAAAGGTCAAATCCCAATGACTCACCCCTCTCCAAGGAAAATTGGGCAGAGAATATGAAAGGCAGTGCACAAATCACATGTGATAGCTAAAAAGTAATATACAGAAAAGTCTCTTCCCCTCAGACCCTAATTCCTCAATTTCCCTCCTCAGAAGTCACTAGTGTTACAAGGTCCCAGGTTTGATTCTGGTCAAGGGCATGTACCTTGGTTGCGGGCACATCCCCGGTGGGCGGTGTGCAAGAGGCAGCTGATCGATGACTCTCTCTCATCGATGTTTCTAACTCTCTATCCCTCTCTCTTCCTCTGTGTGAAAAATCAATAAAATATATTAAAATAAATAAATAAATAAATAAAAGATGGAAGCAACCTAAAGATGCCTTGGTTGATTATAGCAAATTTGTAGGATGAAATTCTTCGAAGCCATTAAAAATCATGTTGTAAAACAGGGGCTCATAACCTGAATTTATTAAATTTTGTTAAAATATTTGGTGGTGTATTCACTCTCTTTACATATTTTTGTCTTGCCTGAAACCTTTTAAAATTGTATGCATTAATTTAATTTTGCATTTGAATGTTTAAATTACTTATTAAACAAATGTAGAAGAACATAGAGTAAAAAATGTCTCCCTTCACCATTAGCCCCTTCCCCAAGTCAATTCCCTTCCCAGAAGTAATTACTGCCAACAGTTTGGTGAAGACAGGCAGATCTTTTAGTAAAATGTATTTTATGCATTGCTTTAATTCTTACTTTCTTATCCTAGTAACATTCTAAAAGCATTCAAACACTAAAATGTGAAGTTAAAAATGAAACTTTCCCTTCTCTCCTTGGCCCCAAAGCTCAGTGCCTTTCTCTGGTATTATTATAATATGCTGGTATGTATTCTCTGAGACTTTAACCAGTTTTACATACTCTTACTACTTGGAAATTAAACAAAAAAAGTAAAGCTACTTTAATAATAAGGATAAGTATTTATTTTTTAAAATAGTTCATTATGACAACTTCCAAATGCATGTAAAAGTAGGGAGAATACCGTGATGAACTCTGATTTACTCATCGTCCAAACCTAACAATTAATATTTGCTTCAACTATGTTTTTCCAAGCAAGCCACAGGCTTCATAACATTTCATCTACATACTTAAGTTTCACTACCTGAAGACATTTTCTTAGATGACTCCAATCCTGTAATTATACCGATATTAACAATTATCACTAATCATTGGTTCATTAATATCAGCTAGTACCCAGAACATATGTGATTTCCCCGACTGTCCCCATGTCTTTTATAGCTGGCTTTTGCAACCATTTTTGTGAAAGCTCCATCTATGTTTTTCCTCTCCCCTCCACTCCTAGCCCTAATCATGGGGTAAGATCATGGGTGATCAGTAAATCTTTTAAATAATCCAACTAACAACTTAATAAAAAAATTTTTTTTTTAAATCCATGTTGTAAAACAGCTTATAACGCATGAGCTCCTTTTAAACATTTTATTTTGAAATAATTTCAGATGTACATAAAAGTTGTAGAAATAGACCACAGTGCTCCTACTTGTCCTTGTATCAAGTTTCCCATTTGTGAGAGCGTTTCTGTACCATAAAGTGCAGGCACCATGGCCTATTATTCCTTAATGTTCCAGTGTATATTTCCTCTAAACCAGTGGTTCTCAACCTTTCTAATGCCTCAACCCTTTAATATACACTTCCTCATGTTGTGGTGAACATAAATCCAAGCAAGCCCCAGGCTTCTTAAATTTTTCATTCCCACACACTTGGGTTGTGATCCTCAGGTTGAGAAACGCTGTTGTAGAGCCTAAGACCATAAGAAAACAAAGATATTTACAATTCATTAACGGTAGCAAAATTAGTTATGAAGTAGTAACGAAAATAATTTTATGGTTGGGGTCACCACAACATGAGGAGCTGTATTCAAGAGTAGCAGCATTAGAAAGGTTGAGAACCACTGCTCTAAACAAAGGGAATCTCTCAGATAACCACAGTATAGCCATCCAAACCAATATGACAATATTAATAAATATCAATATGATTCTCGATGTAATTCAAATTTCCCTCGTTCTCATATTTTTAAAAATTACACAATACTACTTAAAGTCTCCTAAAAGAAAAACAAAAAAATCACAAAAATGCCTCCACTTTTGCACAGCCCCTAACATCCAAGTCCCTTATTAAGAGTCATCAGTGAGGCCTTCTGCCTTCAAATAACTTTTCTGTGCAACCTACAAAGGGCTATGGCTCACACTGCTTTCTACCTTATTTTGAAAATCCAGCCTTTTTCCTCATAAAAATATCTTTTTAGAGTTTATTCTGTGTCAATAAATCATGGTCCTATCCTTTTAAATTTTAATTATCTTAAATTAATTTGCAATCTAACCATGTTTTTATTGCTGCTCAAAAATTTTAAATGTCCCCCACACATAGGCATTCCACAATATGCATGAATATACCTGTTTAGTCATTTCCATGATTGCTTTTTTTTTTTTTTTCCATCAACACCATTTTAATGACTTTTCTGGCTCAGATGTCTCTGTATTCTCCTGATTACTAAGTATGGTGACCGACTATAAGGAATAACATTATAGACGCTAAAAATGTTCTGCCAAACTGCCTCCAAGTGTTTACTGGTCAGCTCTCCAAGTGAGACAAAAGATGGCCTTTCCCCCAGAGTAATCAATATTAGATATTATCTCTCTTCCTATAGAGCCGATTTTAATGGCTAGAAATGGTAACATCATCTACTCTTAAATTCCCTCCTTGCTGAAGCGCATACACTTCAATTGTGACAAATTTGAAAGTTGATGCTAAAAGCTTTGTAGCATAGTAGCAGCTGCAGCAGGCGCTCAATAAATGATATCTATTTGCATCCGTCTCATTTCTGTCTGTCCTTTGTTGAAAGCTGGCATTCAATGTGTGGCCCTAATCTGAGAGAGCTCTCCATGTTAGTTATTATTCATACAATGAACAAAGACAATTATTGAACACCTACTATGTGCCAAGCGGGCATTGTTTGGGTTTTGGGGAAAGAGCAATAAATGGTTCTCATGGAGCTGACATCCTAGGACAAATAAATAAGTTATTGTTGATGTCCGCATAGACAGGTCTGGACAAAATGCAACCATGTTTATTAACATAGGGGCTTCAAGACTGCAGAAAGGGGGTGATGGGCGAAAGGAGAGCAGAAAGTTGACAGTGATGGGTATGTGGGCTTTCATCATGCTATTTTCTGTACTGTGGTACATTTTGGAAAACTCCTGTATTTTAAAGAACGCTAGTGGCATAGTGATGGATCAGTCTTGGGAGGTTTTCTTCTTTTGTCTAGAGGGCAATTCCCACTTGTCTGTAGGCAATGTTTTCCCCTCTCAGGAAGGAGTATCATTATCAAAGTGCCCTGGAGAAAAGCTGTCTGTGGGAGTGGCCATTCTAATTAGGATTTGAGAGTCCACACAGTGTGTGAACGTGCTGGGTGTCAGACATGGGGAATTACTGTGAATTTTCTCAGATGTGGCAGCAGCGGAGTGGTTTTTGTGAGACTGTCTACCTCCATTCGTTGCTTGAAGAGACGCATACTGACGTATTATTTACCTTAAAATACTAAGCAATATGTCCAATAAGGCTGACAAGTTAATCTAGGTGAAAATATGCATGTTATTTATCTTCACATTGCTGAACAGTATTTTCTAGAAGGCTTACATGTTTACTTTTTTTTTTAGTGCCTCTATCAATATCTCTTTATTGGAATGGGACAGAGGCTTCTCCTCTGCCCTGGCCGGGAGGACCAGCTTACCGGCATATCCCTCGCCCTCCACAGCCTCCTCCACGACCTCCAGCGGCTTCAACTTGGCCGCCATTCTCCAAAGCAGGAGTTAGGCGCATGCGCCTTAGACAATTGGTTGGGGGGCAGGGGGAGCACGCGAGGCAGGAAGGCTCCGCAGCAGCGCGCATGCGTGCAGCGTGCAGTCTGCTTACTGGACCAGGATGAGAGCAATGGAGTTTCCTTGAGCCTCTGACTCAGTGACATGCGGCTGTAATTCCAGTTTGGAGAAAGCAAGTTTAGAACTAGGATCTCAGTGGATAGGGGACTGAGTGTTGTGAGTACATATACAAACTGGAAAGAGGTCTCGACCCCTCCTGGTTGCTCCGTGTAGTGCAGGTTGTAAGAAAGACTGGGGGCAAATGAGTTCCGAGTCCCTTTCATTCACAAATGCTCACTTAGCCAGGGAGAGGTCAGTTATCTCTATTTCACGAAAGAACGAATGAGGATTAGAAGCTAAGTGCACCTTCTATGTATAAATTCTGGATCTCGGCTACTGTGTGAAGCCAGGGGCTTTGCCCTGGGTTATACACACACACACACAGACTGTGGGGACCTCCTTTCTCATTAACATTAGCAGCAGCCAACACTGATGGGTCACTTTTGACAGTAAAGATGAAGCATATGAAGGGCGAAGGAATGTCCTTGTGGGGATTGGTTTAGACATTTTCTTTTTTCTTTTTTTTTTTTAAGTATCTTTAGGTCAGTTCCAGCACAGGCTGGCCTCATAGGTCACCCAAAGAAACCTTGGCCAGCCCTGGACACTCAGGGCTAAGAGCTCCAGAGGCCAACTCCAGCTGCAGGACAGGAGAAAGTCCCTGACAGAGGCTGGAACACCATCCAAGTGCGGCAGAGGGAAGGGAGGAGCCTAAGGATTTCTCCCTAGGTGGAGATGAATGAGGGGCTGAGGAAGCAGCCTGCTCACCTATGTGCAGTCATCTCTCATTCGTGGGCAAGCCCTCGGATGTTGCCCTATTTCCCAGGGAGAGGGAGACCAGTCACAGACACCACCGTCAACCACCCCGCCCCTTCCAGCTCCCTCTTTCCAGGGTGGAGACAGAGGGAAGAGCCAAAAGCAGTTGTTCCCAGCACTGCCCAGTCTGGGAGTTCTGCCTCTCAGGATCCAGTGAACAAGCCATTATGGGAAGCTTGGTCCGTAGAGGCAGATGAGGCTGCTGGAGGTGAAGAGTACTTGGGTGGGTAACGAATGAAAAGTCGATCCTCCTCTTTCTTCACCCAGCGTAGGAGTTTGGTCACTACCAAGATGGCGCCTGCCTTGGTCACCAGGGGGCTGAGGCAGGTATAGAGCTCAAACTTGGAGGTCACCTGTGGGTTTGAGAGGAGACAGAGTCAGTTGGGCTGGAATTGGTCATCCGTAACCCTGTCCATCCAACCCTAGCCCCATGCCTAGCTCCTGTTTGGAAGACGCACCTGGCAGCAGCTCCCACCTGATGCTGTCTGGTCACTGGGCTAACGCAGGTAAGCTGGTATTATTGTGTCATGGGTGAGCCAGGGGTTCTCAGTTGAACCAAGGGTGGACCAGGTTCATTTGAGCCAAGGGATCATTTAGAGCTAGTGGCTTCAACTGGGTGATGCTGACTGTGATGCTCACCTATAGAATGGGTATAACAACAACAGTGCTTTTTAATGAGCAATTGTTGTATACAAGGTCTTGTTCTGAGCTCTACACACCTATGTCTTCATCATTTGTGCCCTGAGGATTAATTCCATTTAATCCTCACACAATCTGAGAGACATACTGTGATCAGATCATCAGTTTTTCCACACCACTTCTCACTGCTCACCCCTCACTTCCTCTGTTCCAGCCTCTTTTTGCTCTTCCTCAATCATAAACCAGGCTCAGTCCCACCTCACAGCATTTGCATAGTCCTTACCCTCTGGCCAGCTGTACTCTTCCTCCAGATACCCAGGAGGCCCACTACCTCCCTGCCCCACTTACATAATCCCCCGATCACCCGATTTAAAATCCTGGGCCTACCATATCTTGGTTTTGAATTATCATTCTCCACTAAAAGGTACAAGGGCTACTTGGACAAATGGACTGACACAGAGAAAGTACGAGGTGAGCTTGGAACATCTTGTGCCAAAAAGTAAGAAGTGTTCCAGCAGCGATGGAGACATGTCAAATGACACAAGGGCCAGTGTACCTACATCATGGCTCCCACTGGCTATGTGAGAGACAATCTGAGCGATGAAATAAATAATAGACAAGAAAAATAAACGATATAGAAGGTTTTTAGCCCACTGAATTAAAGAAAAATCCATGAGAACATACTAATATAAAATTAAAAACTCAACAAACAAATATAGGAGGAAAAGGTCTCTAAGACAATAGGATATCAAACAATAACTATAGAAGGAATGATAGGGTTAGAAAAACGACAGTATAGTAAACACCAGAGTAATAACTATTGGAGAATCATTAATGGATATTAAAAATAGTGGGTGAAAATCTGATGAAAAACAGAACATTAACATAATCACCTCATGCTATTTACTAATTACAAAGGGGAAAAATACTAACTTTATAATGGATAAATCTGACAGACACCACCTCAACTAAGTGATCAAGGCTAATATCATCAACAACAGGACAAATTGACATTGTGGGCCTCCTGACTTGATGCAGAGAAGGACACATCACTTCTATGATATTCTTTCAAAAAAGGCATGATCTCAATTTAGTCATGATAAATACCAGGAAAACCCAAGGTGAGGGACATTCTACAAACTAACTGGCTGGTACCCTTTAAAAGTGCCAAGATTATGATAGACAAAAAAGACTGAGGAACTATTCCAGAATAAAGGACACTAGGAAGACACAATAAATAAATCTAAGATGTGATCCTGGACTAGATTCTGGACCAGTAAAAAAAAAACATTAGTGGAACAACTGGTGAAATCTGAATGAAGTCTGTGGATTAGATGCCATTATACTGGTGTTAATTTTCTGATTTTGGTAAGTTACTGTGGTTATGTTAAAATATCTGGAGAAACTAGGTGATGGAACTATTTATAGTAATTTTTCCTACTATTTTGCAACTTCTTCTAAGTCTAAAATTTCTTGAAAATAAAGTTTAAAAAATTAAAAATATAAAAGTCCTCGGCCTAGAACAATGCCTGATACACAATAGGTACCCAATAAATTATTTAATAAATGTGCACTGAATGGCAGAGCCTGGGGGGAAGGTGCCATTTCCAATGGGGTCACCTTGACCAACCTCTCAGAATAGATAACATTTAATACACCCATAGCAAGTGAAGACTTCAGGGAAGGATATCCCAGGTAGGAGGCACAGTATGGAACCAAGCCTTTGGTATTCAAAGAGTTCTGAACTGGTGCCGGAAGACACACTGGCGGGACTAACGGGAATATAGGAAATCAGCAGATGGAGTGATTGTTATGAATGGGGCCTCTTGAAAGCTGAAGACATTGTACCAGTTGCTAATGGGGGAACGGCAAACAGAATGATGGGGCTAATGAGGTTGGGAGACACTGTGATTGACCGACTGACCCTTATGGGTGTCAAAGACACATGTGTAATAAATGGCAGGGATAGTGTTGAAAGCAAAGGTACACATAGCCCAGGCTACCTACGGATGGAGTTTGTTATGGCCGGGGGATACAATGGAGGCAGAAAGAACTGAAGCAGAGAATTAACCCCAAAGAGTCCTCTCCCCAACTCACCCAGGCCAGCAGCGTCTCCTTCTCAGCCACGTGGTAAATGAGGCGCAGAGGCCGGGAGGTACTGTGGAGGCGAGCGTGCAGGCGGTGGTACAGGTCCGATAGGCGCTGCCGTTCCTCCTCTCTGCTATACGGGGCCTCTAGCTCAGGGCTGCAGGGAGGGAGGCCGGCAACAGGGTCAGTCTAGAGCTTTCTTGGCTGGCCATCTCCCCTCAGTCTAAGGTAGGGGTGTTGAACTCAATCAGAGAAGGGGCCAAAATCTAAAATCCAGCCTAAATCACGGGCCGAATGGTTTACTGAACAGTCATAAACTGTCATTGTGATGGAAACGCAGCGGAGTGCAGTGATGACAGCACGGTGTGGACCACATTGCAAGGCCTGGCGGGACAGATTTGGCCCGCGGGCCTTGTGTTTGACACATGTGGTCTAAGGAGTTCAATTAAGTTAGGGAGCTAAGCCTTCCCCATTAGGACTTAAAGAATGTCTATGGTCAGAGACCCAGCTTTCCCTCCAACTATGGGATTCCTTGAATACTGGGGCCCTAGTTTCCATCAGAATAAGGGATTCCTTGAGATTGGTAGTTGAGCCTCCCTTATCAGTTAGACACCCATTTGATTCCATCATTCTAGAGCGCTGGTCGCCAACCATGGCGACTGCTGCTCCAACCGTTTCCTTAAACCAGCGGTTGCCGACCTTTCGGACCTCATGGACCGCCAGTGGTCCACTGTTCTAGAGCATGGCTGGCTTTCTTTCCTGAAACATGTCTATGAGATGCTGAACCTTCCAGTTAGATAAGCCTTCCCAGCTGGCAGATTGCCCAAGGGTCAGGACCCACCTGGTAAACTGAGGCAGCTGGCGGTGATGGTCGGGGATGTCCAGAGGTTTGTAGAGGAAGTGCCAAAGGCCAGGTGCTCCCACAGCCTGCACGCTGTAGGATGGGGCAGTGGCTGACGGGGCATTAGAGAAACTGGCAGCCTCTCCAAGGGTTCGCATGGCACCAAGCGTGTGCATGCCGTCTTCCACCAGGCGCCGGCAGGTGGCCATGTCATGGAAGGCCTCGGGGTCCGTGGCAAGCAGCAGCAGGCAGACAGGCATGGCGTCCAGGCGGGCCACGTAGGCATAGAAGAAACCATCCGGGTTGAAGCGGGGCAGGCACACAGGTGCCCATGCTTCTCCGGCTGCAAAGGCGGGTGCGCTGACCCAGTTGAGCAGCAACTGCAGGTCCGCTGGGTCCAGCCGGCACTCAGCCAACACATTCCGCTCCTGGGCTGCTGTCACCAGCTGACCACCCACCGCCAGCACGGACAGTGCCAGGCCGGGTGCTGTGCAACGTCGGAGCAGTGTGCCCAGTGCTTCCCGCAGCGGGCGAGTGAGGGGCACACAGCGCACGGCACCCAGGAGCAGCGCCCCTGGGTCCCGCTCCACACTGTCCAGAAGCCGGTCTAGGGTGCGCTCGGAGCCAGCCAGCAGGCGGCGGAGGTCGTAGTTCTGCTTACGGGCGAAGATGCGGGCCACGCTTGCGCGCGTCAGTGTACTCACGATCTGGGCGTGCACAGCCAGCAGCTCCTCCCGCAGCTGGGCTGCTGACTGAGGAGTCCTCGACACGGCCACCAGCAGCAGCGGGCCCTGCTGTAGGAACACCAGCTTGTGGTCCTCTAGGGGAGGGAAGGGATGGGCACGAGGTAGCGATGAGTCGATGGTGACTGAGAGGATTAGGCGAGGCACTTCCCGCCTTTCCCTGAACACACACCTCTGGCCCAAGCTTGCGCGGTCACTCTGTGGACACTCGGACTAGGGTTAGGACAATCTGGGGGAGGCTGAACATTTGTAGAGACATGATGGGATGGCCAAAGTGTCAGGTTAGACATACAACACGAAGTGGGGGGGAGATGAAGCAAGGGCTGACACAGCCAGAAAGATTTGCAACGCAGCCACACAGCCATGCTGTCAGATAAACAAGGAAGTATCCAGCCAGCCACTTCCATCCCAGGAGTTAATCACTCAGGACCCAGAAGGCCAAACGGACAAGTGGACACAACACCAAACCCCCAACCCTTCAGGGGACTGGAAAGCCATCCACACACACTGACCCCCACCTGGCTGGCTGGACAGTGCCTCAGGAAGTCAGACAGACCTACAGCTAACCAGACAGCCATATTCACATTCGCAGTCCCTGCCCCGGTTTCACCCCCTGCCCCCTTGCTCACCAGCATAGATGGCGCGGATGGTGTCTCCTGCACTCTGCACGAAAGACACAAGAGCTGTCATCACACCCATGGTAGTCGACAGCGCCTCCACACTACCGTACCTCGAGTAGATGGGCTTGCCCGCCTCACTCAGTACAAACACGTGCTTCCGCTTGCTGCGCCAGTCCTCGTCACTTGGGTCTCCGCCTTGGCCCCCAGAGTCACTCTCAGAGTCACCTGTGACATTGTTCTCAGAGGCTGCAGGATCCCAGAGCCCACAGGTAGAGGAAGGGGACTCTGATTGGGGCAGTGGTGACAACAGGCTGGCTGGCTGGTCCTTGGTCTCGGGTCCTGGAAGGGAGCCCCTGGTGGGTCGTCTGCCTGTGGACTCCCACTCACCCCATGTGCCCAAGGACCCACCAAATGCCTACCAGCCTCCTCCCCCAATGACTCCTGATACTGACACAGAACTCCAGGTATCTCCTCTCCCCCTCAATTATATCCACACGATGCCCTTAAAACCCCAATAATCCAATCTCTCATTGTCATAATTGAGCCCTTTTATGTCCTAAAGACCAATGATTCCCCTTTCAATGACTGTCATTTCTAAGTCTTCAAAGCACCCATTTCCTGAATAACTTACATCTTCAATGATCCCCCATTAATAACCTCTGACTCCTCATTCTCTTGATATCAACTCAACCCTCCACAGATGTAATGACCACTAATACCTCTATTAATATTTGGGTCTTTCACTGCTCCTTGTCTCCACTACCTTAACCTCTTAGTTATTCTCACTGATGTCCATGATCCCTAAAGACCTATTGACTCTCTTAAGCACCATTTATATTTTTGATGATGACCACTAATTCTCCCAATGACGGCATGAATATCCACTAACACCCAGATCCTTAATCCCCTCTATTTACTCCCACTGATCATTACCATTTCAATGACCCCCACATAACATCACTAATACCTGAATCTTCAATTACCTTCACTGACTGCTCTGACCCACAATCTATTCTACTCCATGTCATTCCATCCCTACCATAACCACTATTAATGTCCATTAACATCCAAGACTTCCAGTGACCTCTGGTGACTCTCCTAACCCTCTTTTATTCCCTTCTCCCCAATGATCACTATTAATCTCCACTAACACCTAGGACTTCAATAACCTCCACTGACTCACTTGACCTCCCTTTATTCTCAGTGGTATCCACACCCCTCCCTACACTAACCACCATAATATGCACTAACACACAGGACTTTTTTTTTCTTCTTTTTAAAATTTTTTTATATATATATTTTATTGATTTTGTACAGAGAGGAAGGGAGAGAGAGAGTTAGAAACATCGATGAGAGAGAGTCATCGATCAGCTGCCTCTTGCACACCCCCTACTGGGAATATGCCCGCAACCAAGGTACATGCCCTTGACCCAAATCATACCCTGGACCTTTCAGTCTCCAAGCCGATGCTCTATCCATTGAGCCAAACCGGTTTCGGCAACACACAGGGCTTTTATAAATATAACCTCCACTGCCTTTCCCCATGATTATTATTAACAATTACCAATGAAACCCACCACTTCAATGCCCCCTACTGACTCCCCTGACACACCTCCTACATAATCTAGTCAATGTCCATGGAATTGCCCCAAGGACAACCATTAGTACCCATTGGCAACTATGTCTCAACAGTTTTCTCATAAAGTCCCAATGACCTCATATTCCTTCATCCTCTCATTGACATTCTATGACTCCACTTGCCCCCAATTACCAACGACCTCCTCCCAATATCTGCCATTACTTGCAAATTCCCAAATTCTCAGACACGCACCCCCTTCCACCATTTAATCTTAGAGATGTCCACTGGTCCTTCCCAGTGACCTCTCTAACATGCACTAATTCCAAAGTGATCAATGAGCAATGCCCCCAATGACTTCCATTGACTCTCCACAGAATACCTTTACACATCCACCTGGGTCTTCAAGGACTCTCCTACTGGCCCTCTAACTCTCCAAATAATCTCATTGATGTCCACTGCCTCCCCACCAATAGTTGCCATTAGTATCCACTAACATCCGGTTCCTTAAAAGAGTACCTCCAACAACTCACCATCGTCTCCTCAATGATGCAAATACTCTGAGTGCCCACGGGCTTCCACGGACCCTCTTCTCCACCTCAATGACTTAAATGACACCCTAGTCCCCAATGACACTGATTTCTGAATAGTCCACCTTTGACCCTCTTAACTTTCTTTCGGTCACTCATTGGCCTAACCATCTTAAACCCCCAACGCCCCTCCCTGACCCCCAACTACTGGCAATCTCTTTTTGATACCCCGACGACCTAGACTCATTCCAAAGCCCCCAGTGAACACTCACTGATGCTCACTGACTGATTTTTCTCCTTTTCATTCCTCAAAGAGTTAAACTACAATGTGAGTCAACGATGACCTCTTACTGACCACATGAAATCCTGTTAAGACCCCCCCCAAAAGACTCGTTACTGGTCCCTCGCTGACCTCCCTCAACAATGACATTCCTATTCATTCTTTCGAATGAATGTATAGTGAGGAAAAAGACATACCTCTTTCCTCCAGGCTACGGTCTTCGGACTCTGTGGGGTCCTCCTGAACCCCTCCACCGTCTCCAGCCTCCTCACCGAGGAGCCGCGTGTCCTCCAAGTCCTCTGCGTCCCCGGGGGCTGGGGCAGCCGTGTCTCCTCCGGCCTCCATCTGCACATCCCTGGACGGCAGGGGAAGTGAGGGTGATGGGGCAGCAAAATAAACTTCCCTAAAAGCCTCTCCTGAGCTCAGCCCTCTTGGACACACTCCTAGTGCCCGTTTACCCTCGGTTTCCAAACAGGAAGAGGCATTTAAAAAATGTGACCAAATACTTGCATCCTCCAACACACCTGCCGAAAAGGAAGGATCTACCGAACCTCAAGAATTAAAGATACATAAAGCATCTGTTTTTAAACCCGGTATCTCAACCGGCCGGGTACCCTGACTTCCCGTGGCCTAGGAAGCATCACACTTCCGGGTGCGACTGACATCTGGTCCCACTTCCGGGTGCGACGACGTTGGAAGGAACCCGGTGCTGCAGACCTTCTTCATTCGCAGCCCGCGGGCCCGCTCCCTCGCCCGCTGCCCACTGGTCTCCGCTCACCGTTGGGAAGGAGCGCGCCACTCCGGGTCGATGTCGGGTCTGGTTGGGAACCTGGCGAGGCCCCCGGTGCTCTGCTCTGCACCAAACCGGCTCCACGGCGCCGGGCGCACTTCTGGTAGCGAAGGCTGTTGGCGTGAGGGGGGCGCGGCTCACGGTCAGCCAATCCGGAGTACGGCCCAATCAGGAGAAGCCGGCTTTCTTCCGCCCGTATCCGCCTCTTCTCTCTACCAATACTGTGCGTTGGATTTGCGATTGCACCCGCCCACTCCTTGACGGACAGTTCCCCGTACCCAATCGAAAGCTCGATCCAATTCCCCCTTTTTTCCGCTCCAGGAAGTTCCCCGCACCAAATAAGCGTAGGTGCCGTACCCAGGATGTTTGACGGACAGCCGCCGCTTCCAGTGGGAGTGCCGTGCGTCACCTGGCCAGCCTATGGAACTCGGCGCTGAGGCAGAAGGCGGGCCTCTCAGAAATAGGAAGTAGTCGCTGGTCTCAGTGTTCTGCCAGGCAAAGGGCTCATAGCCTCTGGAATAAAGGGAACGTAATCACGGCGCGAAGGAATGAGCTTGCTAAGGTAATGTGCAGGCTGATCGGGCAAAATACCGAGCTAACCTCCTTTCAAAAAACAAACAAAAAAACAAACACAAAAACAAACAAACCACGGCCTTGTGGGCGGAGCTATAGAGATTGGAAGTCCAAATCTGACGGAATAGCACGTGGGCGTGGCCTTGAGAGCGTACGGAGTCCCGTGGGTTGAAGAAACGCCGGGATGGCTAGGCGGGGTTGGGCTCGTCCCCCGGGAGGTGGTGTGGAGAGAGACGCGCCTGGAGCTCCTTTTGCCCAGGGTGGCATTAGAGAGCTCCCAGGAAAATTATTTCAGCGTGAGGATGAGCGTGGTGTGGACACGCCTGTTCAGGACTCTCTCTGCCTGCGACTCCGGTTTCTGACTATTTTTGTCTCTGAGTGTCTCTCTGCGTCTGCGTCTCTGTCTCACTTCCTGTGTCTGTGTTTCTGTATCTCTGTTTCTGCCATTCCTCCCTATCCCTTCAGCTTTTTCTGTCTCTGTCGTTTTCTCTAAATCTTTATCTCTCAGGCGTTCTTTAATTTTCCTCCCCTCTCTCACATCGCTCTGTCTTGGTCTCTGGCTTCCCACTCACTACCCCTGTCTAGCAGAGTGGAGGCCTCCCCTCCATAGAGCAAAGCCCCCGAGGACCAGCAGCATGGAGTCCCCTCCACCACCTCCCCAACCCCCTGCGCTGTCACCCGCAGGATTCCTCTTTACATTGGGGAATCTTTGGAGACATAGACGCTGACCATTCCTCAGGAGATTGAGGGTTCACTCCTCCCTCCCATCACTGTAGGGTTTTCCTGAATTGTAATGTACCCTTTCCCTCAGTGTGCGGTGTTAAATTCCATGTTTTTTGTCATGTTAGTGAGACTATGCTTTTTCATGAATCAGCGTCATGTAAACAAACCAACTCTTCCCACAGCCATGTTTCCACCAAAATACAGCATTAAAAAGCAGCTCTGGCCAAAAGTATGGAGTTTCTGGAATTCAGTAAATTCTGGTGAAATAGTAAGTCCCTGGATTCACATAAAGACTCTTCCATCCTCACTACAGAAGATCAAGGTAACTGAAGAGTATCTGAGTTGCATTTATGATCGCAAAGGAGAATAATTGCACTTATATCCCAAAGTGGGCATCCCTAATTAGAAATTCCTCATCTGGAGTGAGTTAATCAGTCTTCAGATACTTGCCTTCTCGCTCTGCTAAACACTTCCGTTTTGGGCCCTGCCCACAAGCCCAGGAAAGAGTCCTTTTCTGTGCACATCTTCTTTCATAAGGTCACTAATACATTATGTTCCCACGACTGAACAACCATGCCCACTTCTATGCTTGTCCCAAGATGCGTTGAGCATCTGGAGCTGAAAAGTCACAAACCACATTAAGAACTTGTCTGTGTTTATCTGGATAGATCGTGGTGACCCTCATGCTATGGGTTCTTTTCTTTATAAACTTCCCGAATGCTAGGAAATTGAACTTGACTATGTGGTATAAATTGAGATGGGAAGAGGAACACAGCCATGAACAGAAATGAGGAAACTTGTAGTGTATTTGTGTAGTTGTGTGGTTGTGACTGGTTTCCTCGGTTGTACCTGCAGTGTAGGGTTATTTGGTGCCCTTATTTCCCGAGTATCTGCCTTTGTAGCTATTCCTTGCCTTGCCTCTCTTTTCTGTGCCCCATCAGCTAGTTCTTTTCTCTCTTCTCTGATTTGTATCATGGGTCCCTGCTCCTAGATTTTCTTTTCTGCCACATCATGCTGTTTTCTGCTCTGTCTCCACTATCCTTGCTCTTTACCTGTTCTTTGCTTTCTGTCTCTACTTGTCATTCTTCTCTTTGATCCCTTGCTCTTATTATTTTCTCCAGATAGTGCTTTGAACAGAAATGGGAGAAGAATGATGATCTTAGCTACATTTATCTCATTGCTCAGAGTTCCAAATTAAGATGTTGGATACTTTCTTAGATACATAATTTTGAATGGAATACCTCCTGCCCTGAATTCATCAAGTACAGCAAATGTAGCAGCTGCCCACCCTGTGGGACTAATCAATGTAAATGGAAACAAAAATTTAGAGCTTTCTGCATTCTATGGTATTTCACTCAATAGGGGGCTAGCCCTATGCCCAAGCCTATCACATTCCCAATTTAACCAATCCACCAATTTAACCAAACCCTTAAACACACATATGTTCTGGACCTTCATAAAACACTCAATGCCTCCAATTCCAAATCCTCTCCAAACACGTCTCCCCAAATCTGATAACCTTTTCCAAGCCTCATCCTCACCACATTCAACAATGTTCCCCAAACTCTCAGACTCCTCAAGCCCACGAAAATGCCCCAAAACACTTGCTTATCTCAAAAAAACATTTGTGAACCTATCCGCATGCCTAAGACTGCTAATTTTCACAAATCTACAACCTTCTAGAAACACCAATCTCCAAAACCAAATACACAAACATTTCAACCTCCCAAACTCACCAGTGTCCTCTGCCCACCAACCTCTTCAAGCCTAACAATGTCCCATGCCTCACGTCTTCAAATCCAACAACTTCCCTATGCCATTCTGATGCTGGAGGATTGGGTGGGTGGAATTTCTTCCTCACTAGTGGGAATGGGGTTCTTGCAATTTTTTCAGAAAAGAATTTTCTAAGATTTGCACTGGAGAATTATGATTTTTATTTGTGTAGAGTTACATCCCTCGGTTTGTAAAGTCCCATGGTCTGTAAACCAGTTCTGGAAAATACTGGGTCCAATGTTTCTTCAGTCTAGTTAGAGCTCATTAATCCATTACGTGGAGTCCACATGGTCATGGGCCACATGGGTGAATGTTGGAGAGTTCACCCTCTGGAACAGAAGTCCCAAGAGAGCCAAGAGCATAAGAAAGAGCCAAAAGAGGGAACTTCCTTTGTTTGGGAGTTAGGTATCATATTTCCCGCCCTTGCAGTGGCCATGCCTATTCTGGCCATTGACTCACTCCCAGGTGTGATGACAATTAAGCATCTTCCCAAGTTACCCAGACCTTCCTGGCCATGTGTCTATTGTCCAGTCCCTTCCCCCAGCAATTTGTGGAGAACAGATTTGGAGAATGTTAACTGTAGCTATCTGGCAAAGCTGTTTAAATGGCATATCTATATTATCTAGTCTTCCCTTTTCTCCTTTTCTGTTAAATAATAACCAGATTATTGTAACAGTTTCACCAAGAGCCAATTACGAAAGTTAGCTAGGAGATCCTCCTGCAATTGAGTCTTGAGATGACTGTAGTTCTAATTTTCACCTTGGTTCTAGTCTCACAAAACATCCTGAGCCGCAATTACTAAGGCTAACACAGAAAAATTTGATCCATTGGACTTAATTAAATTTTTTAAAAGTATGCTCTTTGCAAGGCACTTTTAAAAGAATGAAAAACAAGTTGAAGACTGGGGCGGAAAATCACATATCTAACAAAACCCACCAAAACAGTTAGTGGGAATTTTAGCAATGTATGTACAAGACCTATATCCAGGTTACTATAAAATTTTTCTGAAAGAAATTAAGAAGATCTAAATACATTGGGATTATACTATGACCATTGGAAAATTAAAAAAAAAGTTTATATTTTAGTGTAATGGTAATAAATATTCTACCATAAATTTTGAAGGAAATATGACATTATCATGCAAGAATGGGCCTTCCTTCCCATGCTGCCCAGAGGCCCGGAGTGTCTTGGATGATGTGTAAGGTCTCACCCCCAGCCACTGGGTGCCTACATATGAAAACTAACCTGCCATCTTTGTTGGGTTTATTTGCATACTCACTCCTGATTGGCTGGTGGGTATCACAAAGGTATGGTCAATTTGCATCTTACTCTTTTATTAGTGTAGGGTAGGTGATATTATCTTAATAAGATGGGGACTTTGAAAGGTAAATAAGTTTAGAAGGTCATAAGGGTGGGTGCATCTGAGGGGATTAGTGGTCTTATAAGAAAAGACCAGAGAGCTTGCTTTCTCTTTTCCTCCTCCCTATGAGGAGGATACAGCACAAGACAGTAGTCTGCAAACCAGGAAGTGTGTCCTCACTGGACACCAGTCTACTGCCACTTTGATTTTAGACTTTCTAACTTGCAGAGCTGTGAGAAATAAATTAGTTTGTGCTATGTTATTATAGTCATTTGAAATAATGAGAACATCACCATATTCCTTAATCCCATGTTACATGCCTGCCTTTAATTGCAGAGGATCAAGTTAACTGAAGGGATATTTGAGTTCATTTATATGACTTCTAAGGAGGATAATTGTGTTGTGGACATCTCAGGAAAAATTCATCACCTAGGGTAAATTGGCCACTCTCCAGATTCCTATCCCTGTTCTTTAGTGTACGTGTTTCTAAAAAGTGGATCCCAGGACAAAAGGTTCCCCTTTGTGCACATTATTCTTCATGAGTCACTCAGCATACTGCACTCCCAAGAGTGGCTAACCATGCGCAATTCTACACCTGCCTCAGGGTGTTCTGAGTCTCTATAATGGACTATTTGTAAAACACGATGTGTTCTTTTTTGTGGATATCTGCACACACTGAGGCGATTCACAGGCTATGAC